TAGATTAGTTCTTTACGAGATTTTTGTAATTTCTTTTGATTTGTTTTTAATTATATTATCATACTTTCATAATAAAGGTATTGCGAAACTACCGCACTTTAAAAATAAAAAAAAAAAAAAATTTTTATAAATAATTTATCCATTTTATATATAATTTATCTATTTTAATAATTATTTGTGCATATTTTATGCTGTATAATATGTGCACATAAAAATTTAATGTGCATATGTGCACATTGTGCACATGAATTTTACACACTGATCAACACAAATAGATGCTGATTATTAATCAGTTTAATTATCTTGAGGATCGCTTTCATTTCGATCTAAATAAAAAATTTAAAATCTAAACAATTAGTATAAAAGTATAAAAGATGTACAATATCAGCTAAAAATTTATAAACCCTGGCTTCTTTTTCATAATGTTCAGGAAGTTCATCCTCTGAACTGTTATTGCTACTGCTATCCAAATTATTATTAGTATGATGTAATAGCATTTTATCTTTTTTCTTCTTTTTTTTAGATGTTTTAAGCCATTTTGCTGAATGATTATCATCAGAAGTTAATGCTGGATGATATAATTTATATTGTTTAAGCTTCTTTTTTAACTTGATATTTTCACTCTTCAGTTCATCATTTTCATTTTTGAATTCTATATTAAGGCTGACAAGCAATTCATTATCTTTTCATAAGCGATTTACCTCATTGTAAATAGTCTCTGAATGTTTTATTATTTTCTTGTATCATCATTTTAAGTTGAAGCATTTCTTACATAATTCAGACACTTACTTAATTAATTTTCTATTCTTTGTATAAAAAATATAAAATTAGCTAATATAAGTAGAAAAAAAGAAAAAAAAAATCAAAAATAAAATATATAAGATATTGACTTGATAACAATACATTATCATTGCTAATTCGCTCTTCAGTTTGTTCTTTAGTTTGCTTCTATATTCTTCTTCATGAGCGATTATTGACTCTTTCCTTTTATCACTAATTTGATATTATATTAGAAACTAAATGGTTTTATATCTTTCTATTATATCTTATAACTGATTTGCATTAGAAATTTCTTTTCTTTGAGATATATTCAACCCTTCAGCGAGAGACTTAGCTGAACTTTTTTTCTTACTTTGGCTCATATTAAGTGTATAATTTTTTTAAAAAAAGAAAGAAAGATTTGGTTAAATATGAAGAGAAATAAGAGCTCTTTTATAGTTTAAAATAAGCTTTCAGAAACTTTTAATATACTTAATTTCAATAAATTTTCAATATATTGATTGATAACTGATTAATGAGAATCATCATATTTAAACTTTCAGTATCTCCTTACACTATAAAAATTAAACAATTAATTGATGCAAATTTACGAGCGAGTTCAATTTAATTTCAAATTATTGATGCAAGTTCAATGTTTATCTGATATTTATATTAATATATTGATGATTGATACAATTTTTAAGATTTATATATATTGATATATAACTGTTCAATAAAAAGTTTAACATTTAGACTTTATTTTGAAATTATTCAAAAATAGTAAAAAAAGATCATTATCAAGTATACTTAATGAAGAATCAGAATCAACTAGATCTTATACTATACTTTCATCATGTATACGAAGAAACAGATCAATATCTAGTATACTTAATGAAAAATCTTTAACTACACCATAATGTAACGAAAGATTAGTTGCATGTAATTTTTCTGAATGTAATAAGCAATTTGTAGATATTTATATAAAAGTTATTCACGAAATTAATCAAAATTCAGAGAATGATTCAGATGAAATAAAGGTATGCTTACCTAATGAAACATCAGCTGAACTATAATCAGAAGCTGAATTGCTTAATAATGACTAATTTGAAGATAAATCAGAAGATGAGACTGATCAAGACGAAGCTGAATTTATCTTTTTACCTTAACAATGATAATGATTCAGAAGATATGTAAATCAACCAGCTATTATTATTAAATTAAAAGATATATTAGCTGATAAAACTTCTGATGATAAGTATGAATCATCTGATAATGATGAATATCACAAAATTTTTGAGAATTATTTGTGTCCACCTCTTGAGCCATTTTACAATTCAAATATAATAAATGAAAATTAATTGTTATGGATACTGTTATAGATCATGAGTTTTTGAATAAGGTTTAATATACTAGAAACAGCTACAAAATCAATAATACAATTCTTGAAGTTTAGTTTGTTTTAATAGAAATTGGTGGCTCTAATTTTGATACATTTTCCAATACTTTATATCTTACAAGAAAAGCCCTTGATCTTAAAATCGATTTTATAGTTTTGTGATGTATCTAAAATATCACAAATTATATAACAAATAAGAAGTAAAAAATTTCATCAAAATGAACAACTTGTTATTATGAAGTGTAACCATATTATATTTTTTAATTTGACAACTTGAAGATTAAAATTGTGTTAACCACTTTTATCACTAAAAATAATATTATTAAATAACATTTTAGTTGAACCTGAATTGATATTTTCAATCGTTAGTATTAAACAACAATTGGAAGCAATGTATCATTGACCTGATTTTAAAAGTTCACTAAGATATTGGATAAATTGACTAACTTTTAGTAATATATTAACTGATATTTATGATGGTGAAGTTTGGAAAACTTTCAAAGAATCAATGGATGAAAATTTGGATAATTTTTTCTGACCTGATATTTCTGATTCGCATTTTAGAATGATTTTGAATTTGAATTAGTTCTAACCATTTGACAGTATAAAACATAATACTGGAGTATTATAAGTAGTTATTTGTAATTTGTCATGAGATATTCAGTTTAAATGTGAAAATATGTTGGTTCTTGGCTTATTACCTAGCCCAGATGAAGTGAAATTACATAAAATAAATTACTATCTGACGCCAATTGTCAATGAGTTGAAGTCACTTTAGGATAAAGTGAAATTAAATCAAACATACAAATGTTAAGAAGAAAAAAGAATCTACGTAGCTTTAATATTCGTTTTATATAATGTGCCAGCTGCAAGAAAAATTTGTAATTATGTTTCTGCCTTAGTATCATGTCATAGACGACAAATTATGAAAATTATCAACATAATTTTGTAGGAATGAATGATGTGAATAAATGGTTCATTTCTTGAGATTCAGCTTAACATTGTTAGAATGCTTTAAAGTAGAGACGCTGTAATTTGAACGCAACAAGAAAATGATTTGTAAAGCTTACTGGTGTTAGGTAGTCCAAATTATTACATTTGCTATACTTTGACCTAATTTGATTTACTACAGTTGATCCTATACACTGTTTATTTCTGAGGATTATGAAGTAGATCATAGAGTTCCGAATGAGTCGAGTCGAGTCGAGTTTAAAGACCAACTCTATTCAACTCGTTTTTTTCAAGTCGAGTCG